AATGGTTCTTAAGATATTGTTGTTTGAAGTTTTCAACATACTTGACCTCTGAGACCTTGAAAGTAAGTCAAGGTCATTTTAATGAGGAGCATTCCATCCCAGGTACCTACTGGCCAAATATCATGACCCTGGACCTTATGAATCTTGAGAAGATGATTGTTAAAGCTAACATTTTAACCCATGTTGACTTTTGACCCCCGACTAGCACTTAAAGTTGACCTTTGACCTCATTACGGTAAGTAAGAAAATATTTGCACTGCTGGTCTGCATATAGCATACCCAAATATAATGACTCTAGTCCAAATGGTTTTTAGGATATTTTGTTTGAAGTTTTTTAACATATTTGACCCCTGTGACCTTGAAAGTAGGTCAAGGTCATTAAATAAAAATCAAAGTACTGAAAGCACTGAAGCCATAAACGAATTGGACCTGTTTTATACTTCTTTTATGTGATTGCATCAATGCTCAAATGGAAATAGAAAAAGTTCTGATCCTTAGTTTATAGGCAAGTAGGAGTTGATTCAAATTAGATGTTGCATAAATCGGCATCTCTATACAATATTTTTTCACAACTGAAAGTGGATATATGTTTTAAGGATGTAAACCTCTGAGAAGTCAAAGAAATCCTGTATTAAACTTTTTTTCTTATATGGATTTTTGGAAAAAGGAGTAAATGGCATGGTAGAAAGAGCAAAAAAAACAAATTCAACAATTTCTTCCAAGTGTGTTATCAGATATGTATGAATGTTTGTAGAATTGATGAAAATATTATTTTCTTTGAAATTATGGAAGTAAAATTTCTTAATCTTATTCAGAAAGACGATTTTAGTTACCCATGCCCCCTATTTTTTAATGAAAAAGTACTCGTTTTTTTGCCATTTTTTGCAGATTAAACGCTTGATATAAAAAGTTCGGCTATTAAACTTTTTTTAATAGTTAATGAATTAAAAGAAAATGTGTTTCTCTTTCTTAAACATCCACAAAAATGGGGGGTCTGTGTGCTTCTTTTTTTGTCCCATTATCATTTGTATTATTTTTTTACCTTTTTCGGGGTCAAAAATCAAAAGTGCTTCAGTTACACTAAATATGTAAAAAAAAAAATATCAATGATGTATAATTTTCCAGTTTGCTGCATATTATTTTTATTATATTAAACATTATAAAGTTGTACAGCAAAATTGAACTTGCTACAATTAAATAACACTAGACAAGGATACGAAGACAAGGCAGGAGGTTACCTAGACAAGACAGGAGGTTACCTAGACAAGACAGGAGGATACCTAGACAAGGCAGGAGGATACCTGGACAAGGCAGGAGGATACCTGGACAAGGCAGGAGGATACCTAGACAAGGCAGGGGGATACCTGGACAAGGCAGGAGGATACTTAGACAATGCAGGAAGATACCTAGACAACTGGACAAGACAGGAGGATACCTAGACAAGACAGGATGATACATAGACAAGGCAGTATGTTACCTAGACAAGACAGGAGGATACCTACACAAGGCAGGAAGACACCTAGACAAGGCGGGAGGATACCTGGACAAGGCAGGAGGGTACCTAGACAATGCAGGAGGATACATAGACAGGCAGGAGGATACTTAGACAATGCAGGAAGATACCTAGCCAACTGGACAAGACAGGTGGATACCTAGACAAGGCAGGAGTATACTAAGACAAGGCAGTATGTTCCCTAGACAAGACAGGAGGATACTTAGACAATTCAGGAAGATACCTAGACTACTGGACGAGACAGGAGGACACCTAGACAATGCAGGAAGATACCAGGACAACTGGACAAGACAGGCGGATACCTAGACAGGACAGGAGGATACCTAGGACAAGACAGGAGGATCCCTAGACAAGACAGGATACATAGACAATGCAGGAAAATACCTAGACGTTACCTAGACAAGGCAGGGGGATACCTGGACAAGGCAGGAGGATCCCTGGACAAGGCAGGAGGGTACCTAGACAATGCAGGAGGATACATAGACAATGCAGGAAGATTCCTAGACAACTGGACAAGACAGGAGGATACCTAGACAAGGCAGGAAGACACCTAGACAAGACAGGAGGATACAAAGACAAGACAGGTGGACACCTGGACAAGACAGGAGGACACCTAGACAAGACAGGAGGATACAAAGACAAGACAGGAGGATATCTAGATAGAGTAGGGGGATACTTAGACAAGACAGGAGGATACCAACAAAACAAGACAGGAGGATACCTAGATAAGACAGGAGGATACCTAGACAGGACAGGAGGATACTTAGACAAGGCAGTATGTTACCTAGACAAGGCAGGGGGATACCTGGACAAGGCAGGAGGATACCTAGACAAGGCAGGAGGATACCTAGACAATGCAGGAAGATCCCTAGACAACTGGACAAGACAGGAGGACACCTAGACAATGCAGGAAGATACCTAGACAAGGCAGGAAGATACCTAGACAACTGGACAAGACAGGAGGATACCTAGACAATGCAGAAAGATACCTAGACAAGGCAGGAGGATACCTAGACAATGCAGGAAGATCCCTAGACAACTGGACAAGACAGGAAGATACCTAGACAGGGCAGGAGGCTACCTAGACAAGGCAGTAGGTTACCTATACAAGACAGGAGGATACCAACAAAACAAGACAGGAGGATCCCTAGACAATGCAGGAAGAGACCTAGACAATGCAGAAAGATACCTAGGCAAGGCAGGAAGATACCTAGACAAAGCAGTATGTTACCTAGACAAGACAGGAGGTTACCTAGACAAGACAGGAGGTTACCTAGACAAGACAGGAGGATCCCTAGACAATGCAGGAAGATCCCTAGACAAGGCAGAAAGATACCTAGACAAGGCAGTATGTTACCTAGACTAGGCAGGGGGATACCTGGACAAGGCAGGAGGCTCCCTAGACAAGGCAGGAGGACACCTAGACAATGCAGGAAGAAACCTAGACAACTGGACAAGACAGGATGATACCTAGACAGGGCAGGAGGATACCTAGAAAAGAAAGGAGGATACCTAGACAATGCAGAAAGATACCTAGACAAGGCAGGAAGATACCTACACAAGGCAGGAAGATACCTAGACAATGCAGGAAGATACCTAGACAACTGGACAAGACAGGAGGATACCTAGACAGGGCAGGAGGATACCTAGACAAGGCAGTAGGTTACATAGACAATGCAGGAAAATACCTAGACAACTGGACAAGACAGGAGGATACCTAGACAGGACAGGAGGATACCTAGACAGGAAGATACATAGACAAGACAGGAGGATACCTAGACAAGGCAGAAGGATACCTGGACAAGGCAGGAGGATACCTATATAAGACAGGAGGATACCTAGACAAGACAGGAGGATACATAGACAAGACATGAGGATGCCTAGACAAGACAGGAGGATACATAGACAAGACAGGAGGATACATAGACAAGACAGGAGGATACATAGACAAGACAGGAGGATACTTAGACAAGGAAGGAGGATACCAACAAAACAAGACAGGAGGATACATAGACAAGACAGGAGGATACCTAGACAAGACAGGAGGATACCTAGACAAGACAGGAGGATACCTAGATAAGACAGGAGGATACATAGACAAGATAATAAGATACCAGGATAAGGCAAGAGGATATCTAGACAAAACAGGAGGATAACTAGACAAGGCAGGAGGTTACCTAGATAAATCAGGATTTAAAGTTGAGAAAAATGTGTAAATGAAATCAGTTGCCTTGAGTATAATTATAGGTTATTTGCTTACCAAATTTTGTCTGCATGCTTTTGTTCTTTTCAGAAGTTACAAGTGTCATTCAGAACTTATCATGAATACTTGAGTCTGACAGTGAGCATTCTATAACAGAATTATATGCACATGCAATTTGCCATGTTTTTTTGTATATAAGTCGGTGAGCTGGCACAGCTTGTGACTGTAAATGTGTGTATTTGTTTGCCATACTTCAAACAAGCATACTGTAGACCCTGACAGGCCAGACATGGATTATTGGTGTCATAGGAGGAAACCTCTCCTTTTGTTACATACACGTATAATTTAATATACTTGTTCATTTCGAATTCCCTGAAACTCTATATATATGAAAAAATAAATTTGACATGCAACGTTACTTGAAAACATTTTAAACCTTATGTATAGCAAATACCAATTTTGGATTTGAAACAGATATGAATATTGTCCTTGATCTAGAACTGCAAAGAAAATTGTCAATGTTATTACAGCCATGAAAATATATATTTAATTAAACAAACATAGCTGTACAAAAAATTCAGAAGTAAAATACAATCGTTTGCATTTTTATATATCATCCGTCGATCTTCCCAAATTACGTCTACGTCTACCAAATAGATTATGTCAATGTAAAGTTGTGAGGTTGTGTGCATGGCAAAGAAGGATGTGGTGTCTTGTGTATGAAATACTAATTATTTAGAGAGTGTAGTTTGTTTTAAAGGTGTCAAAAGATTCTGAAGTAACCAGATCAGGAGGCAATTTATTCCACTCTGGGATAATTCTAGGAAAGAAAGAGAATGTAAGGCAGTCAGCTTTACAGTGAGGAATCTGATAGGAGAGATGGTGAGAATGTGTGGATTGCTGTTTCTTAATTATAGCGTTATTAAAAGTCTAGTTTCGGTTTGCCCATATATATTTCACGTCAGGAGTAGAAGACATATTTTACCTCAGGGTAATCATCATAATGGAGATAAATTACCCGATCTAAAATCGTTGAACACAAAACATGGTTTTAGGTCTTCTCAAACTTGGTTTATAGCTGTTACAAGGTTGTAATTAGACCTGCGCGCGTACAGAATCTGTAACAGATTCCTAGAGCTAGACGTCACTGGTTTGGTGATTAAGATATAATCAAATACTGATTCTCATTGTAGGCTATATAAATAAATTTGAGACTAATACCAGATAAATTGTAGATGATACAAACATTCAACAGTTGAACGATAAGTAAATAAACAGACTTACCTTGTGTTTCTAATTGGTAGAAGGGAGATAATGCGTGTTGAAATGAAGAGTTAGCATGACCCCGACCATTAAACCACGTGGTTTTATATACACACACTCCTATCAGCAGCAGATCGCTGACTATATGAAAAAGAAAAAAACAGCTGATTTAGTGAAATGGCTTTACGACTTTACCTCCGAGTTCTGGAAAAATTTCCTGTGGCGACGATGTCAGTAACAACAGGTTTGCTTTTTGCTACGATATTTTGCATATAATTGGTCACGGCCACGTGACTTCGCATCAAGTTTGTTTACATTCTTAATCCGTCAATTTTTATGATTATGCCAGTGCTTGTTAGAAGGACTGCATAGTGTGAAGATATGCACAGTGTTGTTTTTTAGTAGTTTTATAGTGGCAAAGGGGCGGAAAATGTAGAGTAAGGGTACGTGATTTCGTACACTAAATATTTTTTTCTTATTTTTTTAACCAATAACTTTCGATGGAGGCATAAAATTGCTCCAACAGCAAACCACCGCCATTTTACTTCTTCGGTGATGCCTAAATATAGATTTCCCAAATAACCTCGTTTTCAAAACGAAACTAGCGACTCGAGCTGTCGTCTGCAGAATGGGCCCAATGTAACTTTAAAACATTATTTAAAACAGAATCTAGCCAATTTTCTTGTTATCCTTTTGAGATCATTCAAATAAAACGCTATTTTACCATTTACATCAAGAAGATATCAAAAAGAAGCTCAAATATAATAAATAACAGCGTTTTTTTAACGTACACGCCCTCTCAATGAGAGGCCTCAGAGGGCACTTATCGTAGGGAACAGTCATTATTTCGAAACTGATCTAAAATATTTGTTTGTTTTTTGCCTCAATAACATTCTGGTGCATTGAAATTGTTTTATAAAACATCTAATGAAATAATTGCTACTAGAATATGTATAGTTGACATTTTTTCACAAAAGGGTCGATGTCAACACCAACAAAGGACACATTTTTTTATAAAAAATCATAATTTGTTCAAAAAGCATGTCTGGTCTTTGAAAATCGGCAAATCTTAATATAATATATTGAATTCATTATTTATTTAATAAAAATAGCACATTTGTAGAGTGTACTAAATCACATCTGCCGCGAAACGGAATATATAAATATATCAAAAGAAAAATTATCCATCTTTCCAACGGTCATTAAGCATTGTCCCATAGATCAACAAGAAATGTTGTCTTTGATGCAAGAAAGTTAGGTGGTGTCAATTTTTTCGACATCGAGAGCTTTCCTCCCTTCTCATATATCATCATCATTGCATTGGGGGTGGCATATTTACCGAAAATGTATTAAGTCCAAATATAGCTGTAACAAATTCTCAGGTCCATATATACATGCACTATAACTTACCACTACAGAGAGTTTTAGAATTAAAGTAAACCCTGAGTCAGACTGATAGGTACCCATCTAATCTAAAAATAAAACCACTGTCATGTGTAAATATGGCAAGTTCTTGTATACTACATATGAACAATACGTAGTCAATTTCAAACATTCTTTCCAAAATGTAAGAGACTTTCAAAAGATTCTTAAGACAACTTTGGGATATTTTAATGTTTGTGCGTGCACAAGGGATGCATACGTCCAAATCCTCATCTAAGATATATTTTTGTTACATCTTGTATATTTAACATCAACAGAATACTTGCTTATCAGCCATTTCTTTATCAATTGCCTAGTTATCACGAACACTAGTACTACATACTGTAAAAAAAATTATTTGACATTTTCGAAGTAATCGATAAAAGGAATTTAATTTTGCATGTCAACGTTAATAGTTCCTACTGACTGATTTTGTGGTATTTTAACTTGGAGGCCACATATATAGCTCAAATATATATTACACGCTATATATAACCGTTGTCCGTAGTAACTAAAGTCTACAGTAACTTCGCGCCAAAAGTAGATTAATGGTTTTACTGTTAGTCTCGTATTAAGTCTTACAGATTATTGCAAAATGTTTGACTCTTTATGGTTGTAATTTATGCCAATTTGTATTGTTCCTGTATATATATATAGTTAGGTATATGGGGCAAAGAAGTAATTCCAACAGTGTGGACAAGTTTAATTATTGAATACAATTGTAACAATGTTATTATTTTCATTAATATCATGTGGACATATTTAGATTAGTTGTTAACATTGTATTATATTCTGAAAGGAACTAACTGGTAACATGATATTTCATTAATCAGGTACTCTCATGGCTGCTGGCGATAGCATTGCACAAATAGCTGTTGAAAAAACCCAGAAACCATACGACTACGGGAGGACGGGCCGCTTCTTGGGATTTGGACTTTTTATTGGGGTAAATAATATGTAACAGGAGAGAAAAATGCATGGCCAGACTAGGGTTTGAACCGGGACCCTCCGAACTCTAGACGGGCGCTCTAACCAATTGACCTACCTGGTCGCAGATGATCGACCTAGTGCAGTTCTGCTACATTCCTCCCTCCTTTTTCTAAGTCTTCGCCCCCGAAGGCACAACTATTTACAACCCCGGTTCGGGTATCCCCTTGCCAAGCATACACCAAATGCTTGAAACAAGGGTTGGTCACAGGCACCACTGTAACAGGAGAGGAAAAATGCATGGCCAGACTGGGGTTTGAACCAGGACCCTCCGAACTCTAGAAGGACGCTCTACCAATTGAGCTACCTGGTCGCTGATGATCGACCCAGTGCAGTTCTGCTACATACCTCCCTCCTTTTTCTAAGTCTTCACCCCCGAAGACACAACTATTTACAACCCCGGTTCGGGTATCCCCTTGCCAAGCATACACCAAATGCTTGAAACAAGGGTTGGTCACAGGCACCACTGTAACAGGAGAGGAAAAATGCATGGCCAGACTGGGGTTCGAACCCGGGACCCACCGAACTCTAGACGGACACTCTACCAATTGAGCTACATGTTCAACGACGATCGACACAGTCCAGTTCCGCTACAAAGATATATATATAGAGAGAGAGAGCATCAAATCATCTTGTTTTCTATATTTTGGTACAATGTCATAACATCAGACCAATACCCATTTATTGTTAGCAATATTTTATAGAAACAATAGAAAACTAATTGAGATAATTGAATCGATTATCTATGCTAATTAGTACATGAAACACATTATTTGGTTGTCTTATCTGATTTTGCCTGAAAGGTTAGTATTTTTTCCACACTTTGGCTTTGGTATCTGTTGGTATATATATATGAAGCCTATCATGGAAGACCCCAATCTGATTAAAATCATCTGTCACATCTGAGCTGCGGTCAGGGTCACGTTCAAGTGACCTTTAGATGAACCAATCAGAATAGCGTGGTTGATAGATAAATAGCGAGGGGTATCAAACAGATTAGTTTTCCAAAACAAATATGGCGGCGGGAACTAACGTTTCTACGACGCCAAGGAAAACGTACCCATTGGGTAATAATTGCGTAGGCAACACCACCATACAGTCTTTCTTCTCTAATAAAGCTTCGAATATCTTTTTCTGTTCGGGTTTCAGACGATCAATCTTAAATAACTTCATAACTTTCGCATCATTCTCATCAATGTCCGCCATATTTGTTACAACTCTGAGCGCCCTTTTGAAAGAGGGTCTCTGATTGGTCAAAATTTAATGACTATTTATAAATATAAAGGTCACCTGAACATGACCCTGACCGCGGCATACTCAGATGTTCAGCCGTAGTACGAAGTTAACAAAGACATGTAACATATGATTTTAATCAGATTGGGAAGACCCTGGTCTGATCTGTTTTGTCAGAGACTCAGCCTATTGTGGAACAAGTTTATATTTGTCTACAACTCTTTAATTTCTAAACAATAGAACGTCATCCTAATAATTTGTGAACCATCTCTCTTTTTTTGCAGGGTCCAATGTTCAGGCTGTGGTATCTGGGACTAGACAAAGCGTTTAAGGGAACAAGACTGGGTCCACTCAAGATGCTAGCTTGTGATCAAGTAATTCATCCATTTGGTGTGGCCGAATGATATGTAACAGTCATTAGTTAACTTTATGAAGATATTTACTTCAGTATTTTGTAAAGTGAATTTAGTTTTTCTTGGCCAAAACACACAAAGATAAGCAAACAAATATACTGTATTTTATATAATGAGGGTGACCCCAGTGATTTGAAAATTATATAATGACTTGAATTCCTATCCCGAAAATATTTTGATCTGAACCAAATGAAGTGAAAATTTGCTGAGCCATTCTGGATTCTTAGTGATTCAAATTGAAGCTGAGGTACAGACAAACAGTGGCTGTGCTGTGGCATCAGAGTTTTTAGCTCACCTGGTCCGAAGGACCAATTCAAGGTGAGCTTATGCCATACCGTGGCGTCCATCGTCCGTCCGTCCATCAACAATTTCTTTAAACGACTTCTTCTTCTTAACTACAGATTGGAATTCAACTAAATTTGACTGAAAGCATCCCTAGGTGGTGGGGATTCACAATTGCACAAATGGTGGGGCTGACCCCCCCGGGGGCGGGGCCAGGCCAAAAGGGGTCAATTTGGCTATATTACTTTAAGCGACTTCTTCTCTGGAACTAAGAAGTGGATATCAACCATATCTAACTGGAAGCATTCCTAGGTAGTGGAGATTCAAAGTTGTACAAATGGTGGTGGAGGAGGGGGGGGGGGGGGCCTATAGGGGAAATAGAGGTAGATCTTTATAACACCATTCATTCTGTGAAGAAATAAAGAGATTCTATTAAACATCCTCTCTATTAACACATGGTATACCACTCACTTAGGGGCAAAGAGTTGGGCCCAATAGGGAAAACAAATAATAATGATAATAATATACATCATCTATATAGCGCCCTATGTAATTTTTTAAACACTCTAATTCGCTTTACAATGTATGGGTAATAGTATTAGTTATAATTGTGAAACAAAAAAGGTTTACAATCACCTTTATACATTAAGCAAGCAGGTAATCATTGTAATGTGCACATAATTGAATAAATAAAAGGTGGTATTTACATGATGTCTGTGTAAAGAGCCTAAAATGCAACAATGATTCTGACTCCGACCACAGTGATCGTGACAGCTGAAACAGGGTACCAAGCTCCTGTAAAAAACAAAGGTTAAACCTTTAAAATCCATTTTTTGAAGGAATGAACAGGTTTTTTGTCAAAATTTTGTTTGGACATCCTGGAGCCAATGCAACTCAATTTTGCATAAATAAGATCCTAGGAGCAGAGGGGTTTGGCCCAGTAGGGGAAATCGCAGATATCCAAATTTCATGTAGAGCATACCTTGGCAAAGGTGACTCAACAGTATATAAATGGAGGGTGTGGCTCCTAAAGGGCAGAGAAGTGGGGCGCAGTTTGCAAAATTTGGTCATAACTTGAAAACAGTTGAGATGCTTACTTATACCCACCTATACCCTTACTTAACATCATTCTAAAAATAATCATGCTACAAGCATTCACTCAGGGATCGGTACCAGACGCAAGGATGCAAATGTAGTCCTAATAGGGTCGAAGGCCTGAACTTTGAAGAGGTTGAGATTCCCACACCATCGACATATATATATATACAGTTGCTGGCCATGAAGAGATGATTACATGTTTTGTTCTGGAAAAAAATTTGAGGTTCTGACTCCATCTGTTAATCGAGTTACACATTTGTGTGTTCACACGATGCATAAAAAAAGAGTGTGCACATTGTGCTTACATCATCTGCACATGGAACACACAACCATGCGATACGATCGTTCGCCCCATTATTTGGTTCAATTGGTTGCTTAATATTCTGGAATGGAACGATCCACAAGACTAAAATGAGATCCAATTCTTAACAATGAAAACTTCAGCATGAATGTATTTATGCAATTTTACCTCACTTTGGGCCAAGTGAGCTTATGCTATGCCACAGCGTCTGTCATCCGTCAACTTTTTCCTTTAAAACACTAAATACTAATACATAGTTCTTAACGGCTCAGTAGATTTTGACCAAAGTTTGTCTGGAGCTTTCTTGCCCAAAGGTTTCTCAATTTTGTATTAACAGAGGGAATGCCNTTAGGTAAATCTTCCAAAAATCTTCTCCTGGTAAACCAATGGTTGGGTTTTGACCAAAGGGAAAAAAAAGGTGTCCCCCCCCCCTTTTTTTTGGCAGAGGGCAGGGCCCAGTAAGAAGAGAAATAGAGTTAAGCCTTCAAAAATCTCCTTCTTTCATACTAATGGAGGGATTTTAACAAAATTTGTTCAATACCATCTTTTTGCAAAGTGGACTCAATTTTGTAAATACAGAGGGTGTGGTCCCCCTTGGGGACAGAGGTGTGGGGCCCAAGAGAGGAAATAGAGGAAGATCTTTCTCCGTTTAAACTAAATGTGGACTGAAGCATCATTGGGGAAATAGGACTCAATTTTGTCAACTCTGAAGCTTTGACCCCCTCATTCCTTTTGGGGCAGAGGGGTGAGGCCCAATAGGGAATAAAGGAAAATATCTAAAATCTTTTTCCTGAACTTGTTCTAGAGTGTCTGGGGTTCTATTTTGTATTAACAGAGTGTGTACCCCTAGGGCAGAGGGATTGGACCCAAAAGGGCAAATAGAGGTAAATCTTTTAAAGGCTTTCTCCTTCTGTATGAAAAGAGGGACTTAATTACCAATTTTGTTCTAGATCATTTGTAGGCAGAGGGCACTAAATTTTGTGTAATTGGAGGTTGTGGCCTACTTTGGGCAGAAGGCCATGATCCAATTCTCATTTGTTTGTAAGAGTAACGTCATCAATTTTTGAGAAAACAACATAATTGTCTCACATAAACCAATGACATAACAATCAATACCTGGTCACAAGAGAAGAAAACTCTGCAATACGCAAAGACGGAATAGGGGAAATAACGGAAACTGTTTTTAAATCTTTCTCTTTAAAACTAAATGGAGGGATTTAAACTTATGCTGGTCAAGAGAACCTGGAGGCAAAAGCAACTTAAATATGTATAAATGGAGGTTGTTGCCCTCCCCCACTGGGGCAGAGGACGAGGCCCAATAGGGGAAATAAAGCTAAATGTTTAAAACTCTTATCATTCGGTGTGAATGGAGGAATTTTAACCAAATTTGGTCTAGGACCATCCTTTGGACTCATTCTGTATGAACATGTTTGCCTGATGTAGAGAATAGAGCATCAGTCCATTTTGTCATCAACAATGCCATTGCCAGCTTAATACATGGGTTGAAACATCTGACCTTTTCAATAAACTGCGTCACAGTCAGCTGTGAAATCAACGACACAGGTTTTCTTTGATGGAGCTCGGTGGTGGTGTCGGGGACCCACAGAGGGGTATTTGCTGAATGTTCTCAAAACATCAGGGTAGAATAGCAGTACCCAAGTCTACTGGTACAACTGGTGCATTGAGGTGTGGGCTGTAACAAAATTGATGGCGGTATCCGAGTTTGGTCGTACAATTGGTGGAGATACACCGAGGTTATACTGTTGTGGCAGTTTTCATTTGTGCATAAAACTACAGTTGCCCTCCAGCTTCAAGCTAGAGGGAATTTATATATGAATACTTTATTAAAAAGATGAAATTTTTACTGCGTTAGTAAACAGACAGACCCAGGTTTTTTTATAATTAGTATTCATATACATTGTATGTTTTAGCTTTTGTGGGCCCCCTCCTTCCTGACTTTTTTCCTTGGGACAATGGGAACGCTGCGAGGAGACTCAACACAACAGATTAAAGACAAGATCTCAAATGTAAGCTGTTTTATGTCTTTAATTGGTTTTATGTGTATCAAAATCCTGTAAAAAGTCTATTTCAGATTTTATGATTTCAAGCCTACATTACGAATACATCCGTATTAAAATGTGCCTGCATCAGCATCAATCCTTCTAATTAAACAGACTAGAAGATCCAAAACTTCTCCAGTTTAGTGGGGCACTTCACTTCACTCTCTTTAGATGACACTTCTAGTTGGTTGGTTGGTAGAACTCTCTATAGATGACACTTCTGGTTGGTTGGTAGCACTCTATATAGATGACACTTCTGGTTGGCTGGTAGCACTCTCTATAGATGACACTTTTGGTTGGTTGGTAGCACTGTCTATAGATGACACTTTTGGTTGGTTGGTAGCACTCTCTATAGAGGACACTTCTAGTTGGTTGGTAGAACTCTCTATAGATGACACTTCTAGTTGGTTGGTAGCACTCTATATATGACACTTTAGGTTTGTTGGTAGAACTCTCTATAGATGGCACTTTTGGTTTGTTGGTAGAACTCTCTATAGATGGCACTTTTGGTTTGTTGGTAGAACTCTCTATAGATGGCACTTCTAGTTGGTTGGTAGAACTCTCTATAGATGGCTCTTCTAGTTGGTTGGTATCACTCTCTATATATGACACTTCTGGTTGGTTGGTAGCACTCTCTATAGATGACACTTTTGGTTGGTTGGTAGCACTCTCTATAGATGTCACTTCTAGTTGGTTGGTAGAACTCTCTATAGATGGCACTTCTAGTTGGTTGGTATCACTCTCTATATATGACACTTCTGGTTGGTTGGTAGCACTCTCTACAGATGACACTTCTGGTTGGTTGGTAGAACTCTCTATAGATGACACTTTTGGTTGGTTGGTAGCACTGTCTATAGATGACACTTTTGGTTGGTTGGTAGCACTCTCTATAGATGACACTTCTGGTTGGTTTGTAGCACTCTCTATAGATGACACTTCTGGTTGGTTGGAAGAACTCTCTATAGATGACACTTCTAGTTGGTTGGTAGCACTCTCTATAGATGGCACTTCTAGTTGGTTGGTATCACTCTCTATATATGACACTTCTGGTTGGTTGGTAGCACTCTCTACAGATGACACTTCTGGTTGGTTGGTAGAACTCTCTATAGATGACACTTTTGGTTGGTTGGTAGCACTGTCTATAGATGACACTTTTGGTTGGTTGGTAGCACTGTCTATAGATGACACTTTTGGTTGGTTGGTAGCACTGTCTATAGATGACACTTTTGGTTGGTTGGTAGCACTCTCTATAGAGGACACTTCTAGTTGGTTGGTAGAACTCTCTATAGATGGCACTTCTAGTTGGTTGGTAGAACTCTCTATAGATGACACTTCTAGTTGTTTGGTAGAACTCTCTATAGATGACACTTCTAGTTGGTTGGTAGCACTCTATATATGACACTTTTGGTTTGTTGGTAGAACTCTCTATAGATGGCACTTTTGGTTTGTTGGTAGAACTCTCTATAGATGGCACTTCTAGTTGGTTGGTAGAACTCTCTATAGATGGCACTTCTAGTTGGTTGGTATCACTCTCTATATATGACACTTCTGGTTGGTTGGTAGCACTCTCTATAGATGACACTTCTGGTTGGTTGGTAGCACTCTATATATGACACTTTTGGTTGGTTGGTAGTACTCTCTATAGATGGCACTTCTAGTTGGTCGGTAGTACTCTCTATAGATGACACTTTTGGTTGGTCGGTAGTACTCTCTATAGATGACACTTCTGGTTGGTTGGTAGCACTCTCTATAGATGACACGTTTGGTTGGTTGGTATCACTCTGTATAGATGACACTTCTGGTCAGTCAATAACTCTCTCTATAGATGACACTTCTGGTCAGTCAGTAGCACTCTCTATAGATGACCCTTCTGGTTGGTACTACTTCTACTGTACACATATATACATATACCAGTACTACCTCTACTGTACACATATATACATCCACCAGTACTACCTCTACTGTAGACATATATACCTACACCAGTGCTACCTCTACTGTACAGATATATAACTACACCAGTACTACCTCTACTGTACATATATACTTACACCAGTACTACTTCTACTGTACACATATATACTTAGACCAGTACTACCTCTATTGTACACATATATACATACACCAGTACGACCTCTACTGTACACATATATACATACACCAGTACTGCCTCTTCTGTACACATATATACATACACCAGTACTAACTCTACTGTACACATATATACCTACACCAGTACTACATCTACTGTAGAATCTATACATACACCAGTACTACTCTACTGAACACATATATACCGACACCAGTACTACCTCTACTGTACACATATTCTCTATAGATGACCCTTCTGGTTGGTACTACTTCTACTGTACACATATATCCATATACCAGTACTACCTCTACTGTAGACATATATCCCAACACCAGTACTACCTCTACTGTACACATATATACATCCACCAGTACTACCTCTACTGTAGACATATATACCAACACCAGTACTACCTCTACTGTACACATATATACCTACACCAGTACTACCTCTACTGTACACATCTATACATACACCAGTGCTACCTGTACTGTACAGATCTATACATATACTAGTACTACCTCTACTGTACACATATATACCTACTCCAGTTCTACATCTACTGTACAAATCTATACATACACCAGTACTACCTCTACTGTAGAATCTATACATACACCAGTCCTACTCTACTGTACACATATATACCGACACCAGTACTACCTCTACTGTACACATATATACATCCACCAGTACTACCTCTACTGTAGACATATATACATATACCAGTCCTACCTCTACTGTAGACATATATACCAACACCAGTACTACCTCTACTGTACACATATATACATACACCAGTACTGCCTCTACTGTACACATATATACCTACACCAGTTCTACTTCTACTGTACAGATCTATACATACACCAGTACTACCTCTACTGTACACATATTCTCTATAGATGACCCTTCTGGTTGGTACTACTTCTACTGTACACATATATCCATATACCAGTACTACCTCTACTGTAGACATATATCCCAACACCAGTACTACCTCTACTGTACACATATATACCTACTCCAGTTCTACATCTACTGTACAAATCTATACATACACCAGTACTACCTCTACTGTACACAGCTATACATACACCAGTACTACCTGTACTGTACGGATCTATACATATACCAGTACTACCTCTACTGTACACATATATACATCCACCAGTACTACCTCTACTGTAGACATATATACCAACACCAGTACTACCTCTACTGTACACATATATACCTACTCCAGTTCTACATCTACTGTACAAATCTATACATACACCAGTACTACCTCTACTGTACACATATATACCTACACCAGTACTACCTCTACTGTAGAATCTATACATACACCAGTACTACTCTACTGTACACATATATACCGACACCAGTACTACCTCTACTGTACACATATATACCTACACCAGTTCTACTTCTACTGTACAGATCTATACATACACCAGTACTACCTCTACTGTCCACATCTATACTTATACCAGAACTACCTCTACTCTATGATAATAATAATTTAAATTTCTTATATACCGCTTTATCACAACCTAGTTCGTAGGTTGTCTCAAAGCGGTTCACAAATTATTATTCATGGTTATAGGGCCTTTGCAACCAGCCAATACATTTCTCAAATCCCTGGTGAGGATACAGCCGGAGCTGCCATTTCGGCGCTAACAGCTAGCATTCCACAATTCTAGCTCTGCCCATCCACATACTCATTTACAGCTGAGTAGACCGGAACAACGAAGTACAGTATGTTGCTCAAAGAAACAACACAGAGCAGTGCCGTGACTCGAACCCACAACCCTTCGGTCATGAGCCCGGCGTCCTACCACTGGACTTCCGTGCCTCTACACATCTATACATACATAGATATTTTAGACATTTTTGCCACCCTGAAATGCACACATTTTTTGTGTTGGAAGAATATAAACAAAATGAAAGCTGTGACAATTTTTGTTTCAACAGGATATTTGGCCAGTCCTCAAAACCAATTGGAAGGTATGTATTTGATAAGGATATTGTTTTAAACTTTTGGTCTTTAAATTGTATGACCGATTGCAAATTGTATAGGCATAGGGGCCAACACAATCTCTGACCCAAGTGAATAAATACAGTACCTGTATGATATATATGTAATATGAAAGTTGTGATCAAAATTATGTAATACATTGTAATCTGTCTGTATATGACTGGTTTATACAGGGTCCAGTGTACCTGGTATCACATTGTAATCTGTCTGTATATGACTGGTTTATACTGGATCCAGTGTACCTGGTTACACATTGTAATCTGTTTGTATATGACTGGTTTATACAGGGTCCATTGTACCTGGTAACACATTGTAATCTGTCTGTCTGTATATGACTGGTTTATACTGGATCCAGTGTACCTGGTAACACATTGTAATCTGT